CCTGGGAGCAAGAGAAGTAGCTTCTCAGGGAAGCTCGACCGCTGCATGGGGGTGGCGCCACCTGCTGCCGGGCCGTGCCCTGCAGCACAGAGCTGGGCCAGCTTCACCCACACTGACCACCCCACATACTGACTCCCCACTGACCCCGGGCTCCAGCCCCCACCCTCCCCCACTGACCCCGGGCTCCAGCCCCCCCCTCCCACTGACCCTGTGCTCACTTTCCTGGCAGGAAGCCGTGCAGGTGGCTTGGTTCTGCGGGTCTTTCCATCCCCCCACTCCATCTTGCAGACTTCCTGGACTTGAATACAAGGGCTCAGTTCTAGGTTCCCCCAGAACTTGGCTACCCCACACTCAGGTGCAGGCTTCACTTTCTTTACACGGGCACACGGGGGAAAGGGGGTGACAGGCCCGCAACTGAAGGGGGGAGCTCCAGCCCCAGCCCCACGGGGCGCCCCGTGGCCTGTGAGGGGTGACACTGAGCACAGAGTCAGGAGTAAGGCCCAAGCACTGCCAGGTGTGACCCCAAAATAAAAATATACATAAAATGTAGTAGCACTGTCCTCCTGTTGTTCATCGATTTGCTCGAGCGGGCCTAGTAACGTCTCCATTGTGAGACTTGTTACTGTGTTTGGCATATCGAATATGCCACAGGGAGCTTGCCAGGCTCTGCAGTGCAGGCGGGATACTCTTGGTAGCTTGCCAGGCTCTCCGAGAGGGGCGGAGGAATCAAATCTGGGTCGGCCACGTGCATGGCAAATGCCCTACCCGCTGTGCTATCACTCCAGCCCATATATAAAATAAAATATACAAGAAAAGCATTGAGGGGCTGGAGTGATAGCACAGTGAGTAGGGCATTTGCCTTGCATGCAGTCGACCCAGGTTCAATTCCCAGCATCCCATATGGTCCCCTGAGCACTTCCAGGGGTAATTCCTGAGTGCAGAGCCAGGAGTAACCCCTGTGCATTGCCAGGTGTGACTCAAAAAGAAAAAAAAAATAGAAAAGAAAAGAACCAAGACCGCGGGTGTGCAACCCATGGTTGCACGAGAAGGGATCCAGAGAGGGAGGCAGGAGAGGAGCCGTCTCATCTCTCCAGGGCAAGCTCTTCCACGCCTCAGGAACTTCAGGAACTGTTTGCAGGGCGAGGTCTTCCACGCCTCAGGAACCGTCTCTCCAAGGCGAGCTCTTCCACTGCATTGTGGGTGTGGGTAGGATGAGGACATGTCTGTGTGCAGATGTGAGTGAGTTTATGAGAATGAGGATGTGTGTATGTGTGTCAGAGTAAGCAGTGTGAGTGGGTGTGTGTGAGAGAAAGAGGGTATGTGTCAGAAACAGCAGGGAGGGCACTTGCCTTGCACACGGCTGACACGGATTCACCCCATCAGGAGTGATCCCTGAGCACAGAGCCAGGAGTAAGCCCTGAGCACGACTAAGCAAAGAAGCAGGAGCCAGTTGCTGGATAGGCGGAGGGGGTGAAGGTCTAACGATGCTCCTGAGGAGCCTGGTTGCAAGGGGCAAGGACCCAGGGAGCCTCATGACGCCCTGCTGATGGGAGGAGGAAGCACAGGGGCTCGAGGAACAGTGACACAGTGACACAACCAGGACTAAAAAAAACAATTTGGGGGGCTGGAGCAATAGTACAGCAGGTAGGGCATTTGCCTTGCTCGCGGCTGACCCTGGTTCGATTCCCAGCATCCCATATGGTCCCCCGAGCACCACCAGGGGTAATTCCTGAGTGCAAAGCCAGGAGTAACCCCTAAGCATCGCCGGGTGTGACCCAAAAGGAAAAAAAAAAAACCAACTTGGTAAGTAACGTAACAAGAGCCACAGGAAATACTTCTTAGAAAATGACTGATTAATGGAAATACAATAAAAGACTTCCCCAAAATCATTCCACAAATGACAAAGCAGAAAGTACTTTTTTGTTGTTGTGTTCGCTAAGAATTTTTTAATGTAAACAAGAAAATGCTTGGTGCAATAATAAGGAATGACAGAGGAGCCAGTATATATAAACATATAATTTTTAAAACCTAATTTCAAAAAGGCATGAGGCTCAGACTTACAAAGGCATCATCTGGCAAGTGACTTAAAGACACGAAGGCAAGTTCCCACAGATCTGGTCCGAGTCCAGTGAGACACCTGTCTTGGAGGGGAGACCCGGAAATGCTCAGAGTCGCTCTGACAAGGCTGAGGGGACAGAGACAGGCCGGCGCCAGTGTCAAGAGCCCCACGTGACCGACAGATGGACACGTGAGAACCGTGGCAAGCATGATGGCTGGCACGGGAGGGCCGGGAAGGCTGGTGCCTCCCGCAGGAGCTCGGGGCTCCCAACACAAACACAGTTGCCGTCTCCCACCAGGCCCCGCACCCCCCAACCCCTCCAGGGCAGCTTTCTCAGCCACGCCAGAGCCGGCCCGGTCCGAGCGGCCGAGAAGAGCACCCACTCCAAGGGGTTTCCTCCAGGTGCTCCTTCAAAATTCAGACTCACTGTCACCTCTACAGATATCCTCTCATTAATAAGTATGTCACATATTTTACGTGTAAAAGTGAAGCATGTTATGCTAAAAAGCTTCGATGTGCACTAAGGATGCTCATCAGAGTTCTATAAACTGGGCCCGCCGGCAGTGGGCATGCAACCAGGCATCAAGGTGATCAAGGACACTTGGTGTCGAGCAACAAATCCCCTGAGTTGAGAAATGACATCTTTGTTCTCACGCCACCTTGAGTTTCGGTTCTATCCACGTGATGGGGGAACGCGAGTTTCATTCCCAGGGATATGGAAGAGACAAGTGTCCTGGTACGGGCACCATGGACCCAGGGACCGGCCAGGCAGGCCTGACACATCACTGGGGACAGAGGCTCTGAAGGCTTCGGGGGGTGGCGAGCACCCCCAATCTCTGGGCCAACGACCAGCTTCCCGTGGGCAGACGTGGACATAGTCACCCACGAAGCTACAGGCCAACAAGCAAGAGGAATAAAAACCTAGTACAAAATGTATGTGTCTTAATTTGCATTTAGCAGGGAGAGGACAAGCCTGGTAGCTAATCTCTTCATAACGTAAACAGTCCTCATCAAAATTTACAAGCATCTGTGACACTGAAATACCAAAATGAAACAAGAAAAGAGATTTGCAGCCGCCCCTCACTTCAGGCAGCAGAGGCGGCTCCCGTTGTCCTGTGCATGGTGTCGGCCCAGCTGCTGCTGCCATGACCCTCGCTCGACGGCTCCGCACCAAGCCAGATGTGTGCAGCTGCTCCGGGCTTCCAGGGAGAGACCACGGCTGGTGCAGGACTCAGGGGAGATTGCTACGACGATTCCCGGGGTCACGAGCAAAACGACTGCTTGACAAACAATGCAGACCCCTCTCTGTGAGACAGAGAAAGCACGGATCTGCATGAGACCAAAGGGAAGACGGTGTGACATCACTCCTGACATCACTGAGCGCCTCAAGCCCAAACCCCTCCCCAGAAACACCCGAGCAGGGCAGACGCAGCACTGACAGCTATGGGCACCCCGAGTCGGACAACCCAACCCCAGGACACGGGAGGAAAACCTCATCCGCCCCGGGAAACCTCCGGACTCTCAAGAGACAGTGCCGAGGCCCGCCAGCTCCACTGTGGCCACTCGGGACACCCCCTCCTGAGCCTGTCCACACTCTGTCTCCCTCCTGAGCCCCACCACACCCCATCCTCCAACTCAGTGCGTCCACACGTCCCTTTCTCACTGCCAGACTAAGTCCTGCTCATGTGGAGGCAGTCCAATGGTCCATCCCCTTCGTGCAAGGCCAGAGCTGGACACGGGGTCTCCGTACTAGTACACCAGTTTGGCTGCAATGTCCCACAGAAGGGCCATCCTCAAGTGTCCATGCCGCTGTCTTGCCCATGTAGGCAGACAGACCTGAGCCCCCACTCTCTGCCCCACTGTCCCTGTCTGCACTCAGGTATGCTGTCCTGCTGACCGCTGGCCAGTTCAGCCCCACATGGCACCTCTGGGGACAGAGATGCTATTCAGAGAGGCCTCTGGACATCAGCGCAGAGCTGTCTGGGAACAGTCCCAGCATCTACTGTGGGCCTGGCTGGGAGTGAGGCCACAGCCCACGGTCCCCTCTCCGCTCGCCGCACATCCTGAGACTCCTGCCTCGCCTCAGGGTGCCACGACACATGAGGAGTGACGAGAGGTCGTGGACACTGCAGAGGTCCAGGAATCTGCGTTCCCAGGACAGAGGACAGCGGAGGGCAGTAGAGCCGCTGTCCAAGGCTGCACCTGCCTGCCCAGCGCACCCTAGGATGGGAGGGAGGGAACAATGTCACGGAGATAAGACGTGAGACAGGGACGCTCGTGTCCCCAGGACGGGACGGGAGGAAGGGATGCTCGTATCCCCAAGACAGGACGGGACGAAGGGATGCTCGTGTCCCAGTATGGGAAGGGACGGAGGGACACTCGTGTCCCAGAATGGAACGGGAAGGAGAGACGCTCGTGTCCCCAGGACGGGACGGAAGGGAGGGATGCTCATGTCCCCAGGACAGGATGGGACGGAAGAACGCTTGTGTCCCCAGGACAGGACAGGAGGGAGGGACACTCATGTCCCCAGAATGGGACGGGACGGAGGACACTTGTGTCCCCAGGGGCTCACACCCAGTGAAGTGACCCTTCCCCGTTATGGGCCAACCTCTGGCTCCCAGCCCTCTCAAGAGGTAGAGTTTTCATTTTAACAAAGAGCATTTCTTAACCCCAATAGAAATGAGCTGGTCCAGCCACCCTCATCCCCTTTCCTGTCCTCAGTTCCATCCCTTATCCGAGCGAACGGTGAGGACATGTAGCTTCTGCAAGGCCTCGGTCACGGAGGTCACTCTGTGATGGTTCAGGCCAGCCTGCCTGAGGGTACGTGTGCCCGGCTCCAGCCCTGCATGCCGAGGCCAGCACCAGGGCCTGTGGTGCCATGCGAGTGGGAAGAGGGGGCTGCAGACAAGGGTCACTTACTGCGGGGCGGCCGCTCGTGCTGTCACTTGGTCACCGACAGCGTGACAATGAGGACGATCAGTAGAGCCAGGACCGTGGCCACGGCCAGCAGGATCCACCTTTTCTGTCAGAGAGACGTGAGCGGGTTAGCTGGGTCAGTGCGGCCGGGTCAGAGCCGTGGCCAGTGTCTCCGACTGAGGGGACAGGGACACCCACAGAGCGAGGCAGATGGCCCTGCCCTGGCCTCACCCTCTTCGCCCTGCTATGGAACTTGATGGCCTTCTTGGTCTCCTCCTTCGCGTGCTCCACGTAGTCCGTGGCCTGCGCCACGTTCTTCTCTATGTTGTTGATCATCTCACCCTGCAACAGGCGTTTCACACTGAGAGGACACTGGTCACTGGAGGTGTCCACAGCGTGAGGCCCTGCTTCTCACAGGCCATCCCCAGCAAACGCCGGCCTCCCGCAGCCGGGAGTCAGCTCTGCTACTGCTGTGGGCTCGTGGCTTCTCCCAGCCATCCTGACACACCCTAGGGAGGGGACCCGCCCCACCACCGCCATCCTGCCATTCAGCATGGGGTCTGTGCCCAAGGTCCCGTGGCCACCGCACACACACTGACCACGGCATCATGACACTCACACAACCCGTGGACAAGGAGTCACCCCTGTAGCCTCCGGTTGCCGACGGTCCCTTCACTGGTACCCACCTGGGTCTCCACAAACATGGCCATGTCCAGGAACATGTCGTGCAGCTCGCGGATGCTGCCCTCCAGCTTCAGGATGTCCCTATGGCGCAGTTCGATCTCACTGAGGGCCTGCCTGGTGATCTGCGAGTCTGAGATGATCTGGGAGACATGGGAGAGTAGGAGCTGGAGGGCAGCAGCCAGGGCCATGTACACACGTCAGCAAACACACACTCACACACACAAACTGACACACACAATCACATACTCACACATTCACATATTCACACACACCCACTCATATATTCATACATTCACACACTCACACACACTCACGTACTCATACATTCACACACACACACATACTCATACATACTGACACACACACAATCACATACTCATTCACACACTCACACACACTCACATACTCACACACACACTCATACATTCACACACACATACACACTCACATACTCATGGATTCACACACTCACATACACTCACATACTCATACATACACACTCACACTCACACGCTCACATGCTTACGTACACACTCACACACTCAAAGGCACACACTCACACTCACACACATTCAAATGAACGCGCACACACACACACTCACATGAATGCACACACTCATACACACACACTCACACACACTCAGTCACACACACTCACACATTCACACACACCCGCGCCCACGCTCACATCAGATGTGAAGATGGATGGGTTCCCGCTCTCCAGCATCTCCTCCAGCTCCTGGTCTGTGGTGGTCCTCCCGGCTGCAAGGGCACCGAGGAGCTCTCAGAGGGAGCACGTCCTGACCCGTCCCTGGGAGCCTTAGTCTTTCTGCAGAGTGTGACCAGGGGCCCTGACTCTGGCTCACTGACACCTTTTCTGAGAAAGAACACTCACTCCATGCTCCCCAGAAATCAACCTTCTTTAAGTAAAACAGAAAGCGCCAACTCCCTGAGGTGGCACTGCCCCTAAAGGTGCTGGGACAGGGCGGGGGTGGGGGAGAGATAGAGATATACCAAGGGAGGCAGGAAGGGGCAAGGAACTCGTGTGGGTGGGAGTGAGCGGCTGCTCCATCTAGGAAGCAAATGCCCTGGCCCCAGGGGAGGCCCTGGCCTTGCACATGTCCCGGGTTTGACTCCTCAGGGCTCCACATGTGGTCCCCTGAGCACCGCCAGGAGTGACCCTGAGCCCAGGGCCAGAAGTGACCCTGAGCACTGCCAGAAGTGACCCTGAGCATAGGGCCAGGAGTGACCCTGAGTGCAGGCCCCGGAGTGACCCTGAGCCCAGGGCCAGGAGTGAGCCCCTGAGCACCGCTGGGTGTGGCCCCAAAACAAAACAAAACAAAACAAAAAATAGAAAAGAAAAGAAAATGAAGATATGGCCAAAGGCTTTCCAGATCTCGCAGTGACCAGGACGTGACTCAAGGCTGACTCGCCAAGGATTTTCTGAAGGGAACAAGTAACTAAGCGTCTGGCTGATTCCACAGACGGGAGCCTTCAGGTCTGCGACTCGGGCAAGTACCCAGCTGGATGCGCCTGGTCCCCCACTCACTGATCTCCAGCTGCCGCAGGATGCGCCCTTTGCTGCGCTCCCGGAACTGGGTCTGCGCCTCGTTGTACTCCGTCATGACCTCCACGAACTTCCGCGACAGCACCAAGTGCTAGGGACAGGGAGAGGCAGTCAGCGCCCTCATGGGGAGATGCGGTCACCGCTCTCACGGGGAGATGCTATCAACGCCCTCATGAGGAGACGTGGTCAGTGCCCCCATGGGGAGATGTGGTCAGCGCCCTCATGGGAAGATGCGGTCCAAGGAAAGCCAGCCCTAGGTGACTGTGCCCTGGAGGTGAGCAGTGGGCAGCCTGTGGTAGCCATCTGTCATGAGGAGCGCCGCCCGTGAGCACTCCCTCCCTGTGTGCCAGCAGGTCGCTGGCAGGAAGCTGGGGAGGAGGCCGCAGCCCCATCTCTCCAGCCTACCTGGGTTCTCTGGATCCGGAGGGCCGCCGATGTGCGGCCAGCGCTCTCGTCCTGCTGCAGACTCTGCTCCATGGCTGCAAGCAAGCAGGAGGGAGCTGTTACCGGGAAGGGACATCCCCCCCTCTCCAAGCCCACTCTCAAACCACAGAGGGTGAGATAGAAGGGGACGGCCCCTGCACACAGCGGGAGGGAGCCGAAGCCAGACGTCCCAAGCGCACATGCTCCTCACAGCGATGGGGCAGGTACAGCGTAAAAACAAATGAGGGAAACGGCAGATACCGACGATGGATAAGCTGGCACATGCCCGACCCGGGTCCGATCCCCGAGCCCCACCCAGGGGGATTCCTGAGTGCAGAACCAGGAGTCAGCCCAGAGCACCACCGGGGTGACCTCCAAAACCAAAAATAATGAAAGAATTCAAAGTGATTTTAAAACACAGTGGTCATCCCTAAGGGACAGAAGAAAGATGAATCGAAGCAAGACACGGGGCTGGGAGCCCAGGACCACGATCCAGATGTCACTCAGGTGACAGGGGTCAGGCAAACGTGCGAGCACTGGACCCACCAGGAGGAACTTGCCCTGCGTCAGTGTCAGAGACTCACCAACCTGCTGGGAAAGCCCAGAAACCAGGCCCCCCCCGCCGCCCTCAGCCCCCAGGTGCCCCCAGGGCTCCCTCAGGAGAGAAGACGGGGCCCAGGGCACCTCTCGCCATCAACAACCCCAAACTATTGGATGGAGAAGAATCCGTCACCCCAGAGTCTGGAGACATTGTGCTGGGGTACCCCGGCTGGTGTGTTGGCCGTTCCGGGGGCAGTTGAGGTGACTGTGTGGGCCAGAGGTCAAACCTGAGCCTCTGACACAAAAAGCATGTGCTCTAGCCCACTGAGCTGTCTCCCCAAAACTTGGAATCCATCTCAAAAACTATTCACCTCACATATCTTCGTTAGCAAAAAAATGCAAAATTCCCTATAGTTGGGCTCAGAGCCTTGGCCTTGGTGGGGGGGGGGGGGTGCCTGGGCTCAGTGTTAGAGCTTTGTTTATTTATTTATTTGCTTTTTTGGGTCACACCTGGCGATGTACAGGGGTTACTCCTGGCTCTGCACTCAGGAGTTACTCCTGGCAGTGCTCAGGGGACCATATGGGATGCTGGGAATCGATCCCGGGTCAGTCGCATGCAAGGCAAACGCCCTACCCGCTGTGCTATTGCTCCAGCCCCTCAGTGGTAGAGCTTTGGCCTTGCGGGGGGGGGGGGGGGGGGGAAGGGGGTCTGGACTCAGCCCTCAGCACCACAGGAGAGGAAAATGACGGAAACTAACAAGTGTCTTACTTGCACCATCGGTAATTCAATACAAATGAAACTGTCACTCACACTTCAACTTGGCTCGAATTTTATTTGCAGTTTTCTTGATTTCTTTGTTCAGATCTTCAAGCTCCTCTTTTATCTCTTTAAAATTAAAAAACGGGGCAGGGGGAGGCATCTGAGCTGCAGTATCCAACATCAATCACACCCAGCAAACACACCACCAGAAAGCTGTTCCCGGCAAACAGTCCGGCCTGCGGGCTCTAGAAGTTCGTCTCCACATGGCTCCTGCACCACGCAGAGGTGACAAGCGAAATGTAAACCCAACTCTAACGAGGCAGTGCTATCCCAACAGCGCTGACCGAAACCACAGCTACCACGGGAAGTGGATTCTTAAAAACCACCCCCCCCCCCCCCGCCCAGAAAAGCAAAAGGAGAAGAAGAGTTACAGAGAACAAGAAAAGCAAAAAGCAACATGATTCTCAGCATCAGTCTATCTGCCCAGGACTCCAGGGTCTGAGTGAGCCGCGCTCCTGTGCGCGCTGGGACTGTGGGTCAGAGAACATCGGCCAGAGGGTGCAAGGAGAGCCCCCCCCCAGGCAGGGAAGGAGGTTCTGGCTGCACCGATGGGCCCACCAGGAGGGGAGGAAGCCACGTTCCGGGGGGCCGAGGGAGGTCGCCTCCTGGTACCTCCCGAGTGAGGATTCTCCCCCCGCCCCAGTCAGCCGTGGATACCGTATGGGTCCAGTGGAGCTGAGAGCCCCACAGCCCTGCAGAGCAGCTTCCTCGAGCCCTTTCAACACTGCGCATGGGGAGGCCGTGGCACCCCATAGGCAAAGGATCTGGGGCAGCCGCCGGACCTGAGAGCGCCCGGAACCCCCAGGCGGGTCCATCAGCTCCTGACACCACGGACCGGTCCCAGCCAGGGGCGGAATCAGCAGGAGGGGTGGGGTCCAACGGGGCACAGCAGGGCTTGGGTGGCCTCTCTCAAGCACATGGCCACAAGCCGGGAGCCCCAGAGCCCCGCCTGTAGCCAAGCAACCCTGACCGTACTCTCCGTGGCCCCGGCACCACACCCCGGCCATGCTCTGGCCGTGGCCTGGGGCCCACCCCCAGCTGTGCTCTCTCCGTGGCTCGACAGTGTCCGAGCACCACAGAAAGGCCATGGCCCCGGAGCACCACAAGCAAGGAGATGTGTGAGTGCCACAGTGGCTGCCCACGTGTGACTGACACGTCTACACTGAGAATGCCCCTGTAGCACACATACGGCAGCTGACCATGGCCAGGCCGGTGCAACATCCTCAGCAAACTGTCAACCGCCAGCGCGAAGGGAAGAGGATGCAGACCCACTACAGACTCACTTCCCAGCGAGGGGAAGAGACGGCCTCGAGAAACGGCCACTTACTTCCCTCTGGGTTCGGTGCCGAGAGAATGATGCTGTGGTTCTTCTTGACCTCCTCCACGTGCTGTGAGATCCGCATTATCCCGTGTCTGATCTCCTCGACCTCGAGAAGAGAAGACGGCGTCAACCCGCAGGAAGCGGCTCCCCGGAGACCATCCTTCTGGGTCGAAAGCCCTGTACAGAGGGGGACCCTTTCCCAAGTGGCCGTCCTTGACTTGCACCCACGGCCAAGTCTGGCCCGCAGCAAGAATCTTCCTGAGCCTATGGCTGCCGGGCTATAGCCCGCCGAATAGATGTCACATGACATGCCTCTGAGAGCATTGTCCTCCCGGAGGGAGGCTCACAGCAGCTCCTCGACGGCAGCCCCACAGCCAGCATCCATGCTGGTATCCGAGCCACGGGGCATCCCTCGCTCTGCAAAACCCACCGGGGAACCTCGACAAGGGTTCCCCGGTGGGTGACGAGAAGGCTGGTTCTCGGCAGGCCTCAAGGAGCCAGGCCAGATCCCCGGCACACCCAGGAAGGGAAGCAGTGGGGGGGTGGGGGGGGCAAACATACACCAGCCACGTGAGGAAGCAAGTGAGAAGAGCCAGAGCGTGGCCACGTGGCTCCGAGCCCGCAGCACAGGACACAGGTGGAAGTTTGACCAGATGCCACCAGAGAGACAGTCCGGACAGTCTGGTGAGGGCTGAACACCAGCTTCCCGGTGGGGCCGCAGGTGCCCGCACTGCCAGGGCAGCTCTGGTGGCCTTCAGGATGTGCCACGGTGGCAGGACCCGTCGAAGGCGCTTGGCACGGCCTGTCAGAGCGAGGAGGCCACAGCCCCAGCCCCTCCCCTAGCCCACAGCACTCAGCGCCCACTCCAGGCTCAGTCTCCATCTCCCAGAAAGGCTGGCTTCCCCAGAACCCCAGGAACTCCACATCCTGCTATCAGCAGCTCAAAGGTTAGAATCCAGCACAGATGAGGGCCACGGAGACTATGGGTGGGTTTAACGCCGACTCGGGCACTTAAAGCGGCTGAAACCCATCCGGCCAGACTGTCACGTTCAAGGGCACCAGGACACAGTATCTGTATGCGGGGAGCTGGCCTGGAGGGCACCCAGGGGTCAGTTCTGGGCATTTCATGACCTCCCAAGCACTGCCAGGTACAGCCCCTGGAGTCCCTAAACACCATCAAGTAAAGGGGTCACAGAGTTCAACTGGCCCCAGGTCAGACGTGGGACGCAGGCTCACAGCTGAGACCGGGAGTGAGGGCCTGTCCTGTGCCGGGACTTAAGGAAATACGCATCAAGAGATCTGGAGGCGCAGCCGAGACCCGAGGCCGGAGCCCGCAGAGCACCCAGTCCTGGTGGCCACGGGGCTTGGGTGCAGCCTCCCCAGTCCCCACTCTCCCTCCTCAGTGCTCCCCGGAACGGTGGCCCACACACCCATCCTGAGAGCCTCCAGGACGCTCTCGCCTTCTGGGAAGCGGTTTCAGGGCCGAGCCTGGCCTGTCACGTTGAAGGCCCACCATGTGCCCGCACCCAGGGAGCAGCACCCTGAGTGGGAGCCGGCCAAGCAGCAGGCGCCAAGGGACGCTCCCAGCACAGACCCTCTGGCTCACCTGGTGGAAGAAATCGTCCATGAAATGGTCCTTCTCAACGACCACCACGCTGGGGTGTTCATCTTCATCTGTCTTACACTGCAGTGGGAAACAGGAGACGGGGCTCACGCGGACAGAAGCAGCGAAACTCATCCGGACCGGCGGCCACCACAACCGCACACAGCCCGGCTGGACGCGGCAACGTGGGGCGGGACCTCCTGTCACAGGGGCTGGACGGTGCCACGTCCCTCCAGCTTTGCCTGACAGGCTTCTCTCCTGCCCACCTCCTCCCCCTGGGCGGCCCCAGTCTCAAGCCAGAAACTCCACTGCCTCAATTTTCACCTGTGGCCCCTCAGGATACCCTGGCAGCACCCTGAGTCATGGTGAGCCCCCACCCCATCTCACTGACCCTGCTGGCCGTGACACCAGAAGGGCTGCTGGTTTGGAAAGAGGGTCTACATGGACACAAAGAAAGAAGGTCAAGAGTGAGCGAGTTCATCCTCTGAGGACACACATGGGGACGCTGGTCACCCCAGCTTAAAGAACAAGGGTCACTCCCCCTGAATGGTCACTCCCCCAGGATGATCACTCCACAGGACGGTCACTCCCCCTGGATGGTCACTCCACAGGATGATCACTCTCCCTACATGGCCACTCCCCCTGGATGGTCAGTCCCCCAGGGCGGTCACTCTCATAGGGGATGACTGGAGTGCATCTAAGGAAAAGGTCCTCCTCTGGCTCTGTGGGGCCTGACGCCTTTAGGAAGAAAATCACTCAGCATCCCCAAAAGTCCATAAAATTAACCCACCATGAGGTATTCATCTTAATTCTACCATTATGCTACTGCGAGCACAGACATATGTGCCAGGTGCGCTCATGTAAGGACTCCAGCTGTGCACACATGCAGTCACACTCTGTCCCTGTGTGCTGAGTTGGGATGTGTCTCTTGCCATGCATGCACTCATCCATTTGTACTTACAGCCAGCCTGGTGTGCCTATAGTCACATATACCCGTTCACATGTCCTTACAGCCAGCCTGGTATGCCTACGGTCACATACACCTATTCATGTGTGCTTACAGCCAGCTTGTATTATAGATACACACACACACACACACACTCACACACACACACTGTGTGTGTGTGCTGACAGTCGGGAGTCTGGTGCGCGCACACACATACACCGTCTGTGTGCTGTCAGTTAGGAGTGTTCTGGGTGCACACACATACACACACACACACACTCACACACACACTATCTGTGTGACGGAGACCCATTCAAGGGGGCTGGGCCTGGCGGGCCCCTCGGGGTGGTATGCTGAGAGGCCCAGGGCGGGAGCAAACCCAAGAGCTGGAGTAGCGGAAAAACACAAGCCCCTGGGGAGGTGCTGTTCCTCCCCCAGCCCAGGGGCCCTTGGGGCCACCCAGCCCAGTTCCCATGGCAGCCCAGGTCTGCTGTCACTGACTGGACCCGAGCCCCACCCTGCCCCATGTAGTGGTGGCCTCCGCAGTGGCCCCTGCGGATCCGCCCCTCTCTCCCCAGCTCACTCATCCTTCACTTGCTCCGGAGGGGAAGCCTCTTGGCCACCAAGCCACTGTTCTGCCCTTTGGATGGCTGATCCCACAGCCCAGGGATAAGCAGTGGCCCCCTGGACCCCACAACCCCTCCTCTGGCCCTTCCCTCAGGGCTAGCTCAGGCTGCGCCGGGGCCCACAGCCACTTGGGGGGACATGTAGAGGAAGGACGAGGCACAGCACAGTCCCCACAGCCCAGTGAGGCTCTCGCTCTGCCCAGCCCTCCACCTGGCCACATCCACCCCGTCATACAGAGCCTGCAGTCCCCATGACCAGCCCGTCCCCTCCAGTGCAGGCCTGCAATCCCCCTGTGCTCCCGGCTTTCTTGGAGGCTCGCGGTCCAGGAACAGCCCGAACAGCAAAGACAGGGAAGCTGAGGGTGCAAGGGGCCTTCCCGAGGAAGAGCCATTCTGGGGGATCCCCAGAAGGTGTGACCAGGTCAGGGGGGTCAGCCCGGCTCCTCGCAGAGCGAACCACTCCTTTCGAAGTGCAGGAAGGTGTCAGAGTGGACATGCAGGGAGGTGGGGAGGCCGGGAGAAGATCCAGGGCTCGGGGTGTGTGAACCTGGCATGGCCAGCAGTGGCCCCTGAGCATCTTCCCATGGCCCAAAAGCAAAAAGCAAGGAGCAGCATGTTTCACATGGAAACCGACAGAGGTAAGAGGACAGCGTACAGGAAGCAAAACTACCAGCAACAAAATGCATTGTTAAAAGCACCGAGAGTTACACGGCACTTTCTCCCACCTTCTCCCACAGGGTAATGGATAAATCACTTTTCTTCTAAGAAGGGACAAAAGGCACATTCTGAGGAAACCTGGAGTTTTGAGAGGCAGGAAGTTACTCCCCCCAGTGGACCAAGCAGAAGGGGAAGGTTCTGCTGCGCGTTTTGGCCAGGCAGGCAGATGCTCTGGCTCCACCCCAGGTGGAAGCAGGTGTGTGGCTGGGGCTGGAGAACACGAAGGTGCCCATGTCCTTCTCCCACCAAGATTCCCCACGGCCCACAGGGCTGGATGCCTGCAGGAACCACACCCCTGCCCCGGGGAAAAGGGGTTCCACGAGGGGGCGGGGTGGAGGGAGAAGCCGGGGAGCAGACTCTCTCTTCTGCCAGGACTGGCACTCACTGCTTTCCCAACTGTGGAGCCCCAGCAAGTCCGGCATGGGCAGCGCCTGTTCTGTTACTTTGGGGAGTATCCAGCAGCGCCAGGGAACATTCCTGCCTCTGTGCTCAAGGGTCACACTCCTGGCTCTGTGCTCAGGGGTCACTCCCGGCTCTGTGCTTAGGGATCACCCCCGGCTCTATGCTCAGGGGTCATCCCTGGCTCTGTCTGTGTGCAGGGGTGATTCCTGGCTCTGTGCTCAGGGGTCACTCCGAGTTCTGTGCTCAGGGGTCACTCCGAGTTCTGTGCTCAGGGGTCATTCCCTGTTCTGTGCTACGGGATCACTCCTGATGATGCTCCGGGCTCACCCCTGACTCTGTGCCTGGGATCACCCCTAACTCTGCTCCGGGATCACCCCTGACTGTTCTTGAGTTCCCCCTGACTGTGCCCGGGATCACCCCTGACTCTGCTCCGGGCTCACCCTTGACTGTGCTCGAGCTCACCCCTGACTGTGCCCGGGATCACCCCTGACTCTGCTCCGGGCTCACCCTTGACTGTGCTCAAGCTCACACCTAACTGTGCCCGGGGTCACCCCTGACTCTGCTCCAGGATCACCCCTGACTATTCTCGGGCTCACCCCTGACTGTGCTCGGGCTCACCCCTGACTGTGCCCGGGATCACTCTTGACTCTGTGCTCGGGATCACCCCTGACTCTGCTCCGGAATCACCCCGGACTGTGCCCGGGCTCAGCCCTGACTGTGCCCGGGATCACCCCTGACTGTGCTCGGGATCACCCCTGGCTCTGCTCTGGGATCACCCCTGGCTCTGTGCTCGGGTCACCCCTGACTGTGCTTGGGATGACCCCTGGCTCTGTGCTCAGGAGAATCCCTGGCTCTATGCTCGGGATCACCCGACTGTGGTCAAGCTCACCCCTGGCTCTGCTCTGGAATCACCCCTGGCTCTGTGCTTGGGATCACCCCTGACTGTGCTTGGGATCACCCCTGACTCTGCTCCGGGCTCACCCCTGGTTCTGTGCTCGAAATCACCCCTGACTGTGCTCGGGATCACCCCTGGCTCTGTGCTCAGATCACCCCTGACTCTGGTCCGGGCTCACTCCCGCCCTAAGCGGTGCTGATATTGGAACCCGATCATCTGCGGGTCCCCGCCCACCCCTGGTCCGACCCTGCGCCTTGGGGGCTCCAAAGCTTCCCGCGGGTCCGAGCGGGGACCCCCGGGGGGCGAGAGAAGACAGTGCTCCGTGCAGGCCGGGAGAGTCCCAGCCCGGTTCCGAACCCCCACCCCCGCCGGCCCGAACCGCTATCCGCGCTCACCGCCCGCAGCTCGGCCAGTCGGTCCCGCATCCCCGCGGCCCGGCTCGGTCGTCCGGCGCCTCCTCTGCTGGGCCGCGGGCCCCGGGCCGCAGCCGCCACCAAGCCGATCCGCGTAGCAGCCGCCCCTCGGGCCCGCGCTGCCACGGCAACCGCGGCCCGCTCTGCGCATGTTCGCTCCGCGGGGAGCCCAGACCGGGGGCGGGGCGGAGAGGCGGGCCCAGCTGGGCGGGGCCAGCTGGGCAGGACCTACGGGAAGGGCGGGGACAGTTGGGCAGGACCTAAAGGAAGGGTGGGGCCTAGGGGCGGGACCTAAAGGAAGGTTGGGGCCTGCTGGCCGGGATTTATTGAGGAGGGGTCTGTTGGGGCGGGGCCTGATGGGGGCGGGGCCTGATGGGCGGAGTTGATGAGCGAAGCATGGGGGGGAGGGTGGGGCTAGTGGGCGGGGCAAACGGGAAGGGCGGCGCCTGGTGGACAGGGCGGGGCCTGAAGGAAAAAGCTGGTCCTGGCGATCGAGGGGGGGGGAAACCTGGCGGGAGGGGAGGAGCCTGATAAAAGGGCGTGGTTTGTGGGCGGGGCCTTAGGAGAAGGGCGGGGCCTAGTGAGGAGGTGGCGCGGGTGGGGGGGGCCTGAGGGGTGAGGGTCCTTGTGGGCGAAGGGTGGTGCCTAAAGGAAAGGGCAGGGCCTGCAGGGAGGGCGGGTCCAGTGAGGGGCGGAGTCCTGGCGGGAGTGATGTACGGGGGCGGGGAAGGGAGGCACCTGGAAGCCGGAAAGGGCTCAGCCAACCAGGCTCCGCAGGGGCCACAGGTACGGGCGGGTTCCTAGTGAGTAGGGGTCGGGGCCTGGTTGGGTGGGGGTCTGGCAGAGGGGCGGGGCCTGGCAGAGGGGAGGGTGAAGGGGCGGGACCTCGCAGAGGGGCGGGGCGGGCCACTCTTCAACTCAGCAATTTTTCCCTCTTGGCTTGTTTTTAAACTTTCACCATCATTTCCCCCCCCCCCTAGAATATGTCTTCAGTTCTCTACATTCGACTAATCCCAGTTTCGCAAGTTAACTTTTTTCTTTCCTTCATATCATAAAGTGTCTCTCCGTAAGGGCCCGGAGCTAGTCCCGTGAGCTGGTTTGATACCTGGCACGCTGGCACTCTAGAGCAGCATGACATCCTCAGGTCCACCCCCAGCAGTGCTGGTTGGCTGAGACCTGGCAGGAAGTTTCGTGCCCCTTAGCACTTGAGCGGCTAAACAATATTGCCTCCCTCTTGGGCACACTGATGTTGTTGCTGTCTTAGCAGTGCCGGAATTGAACCCAGGTCTTCAGGCATGTGCTCTTCCATGGTTCCACACAGTCATTATTTAGACTGGTAGGTTGGTGGTGGGTGGGTGGGTTTCGGCCTACAGTTGAAGGTGCCAGGGGCTACTCCAGGCTCAATACTTGGGAGTTCATCTTATAGGTGCCAGAAATCAAACCCAAGTCTCCTGCATTCCAAAACGTGTTGCAGCCCTTTGGACCATACCCTGCCCACAGTCACTATTGTTGGGGAGGGGAGGTAACCCTGCTTTGCTCAGGACTCACTCTAGGCCCTCAGGATCACCTCTAGCAGTGCTCAGGGGACCATATGCCATGTCTGGGATCAAACCAGGGTCGGCTACATGCAAGGCAGTGTCTTATACCCTGTACTGTTGCTTGCACTTCACATTTTGGCCTTTATTTGTGGAGGGGAAAACAAACCCAGAGCTGCTCCCGGCATACTCCTGGCTTCACACATGGGAATCATTTCTCATGGGGCTCAGGAGACACTTTGTGATACCAGAGATGAGATTGTGCCTGGGTCAGCATCGTCTCCAGCCTCAATAGTCATTTTGGTTCCTGGAGACCTCCAGGACTGATCAGGTAGGATCCAAAAACAAACCAAAAAAAAAAAATAATGATAACTGAGAACCAGAGAGAGATTTCAATGAGCTCAGTACATTTGTTGCATGCAGGAGGCCTGGAGTTGGTCCCTGACACCTGGTAATTCCCCAGAACAGAACAGAGTGTAGCCCCAGAGCACTGCATGGTGTGGCAATAAATAAATATAAAGTCATTGAATTAATGGTTAACAGATTCAGCAACGCTTCAGAAAATACTGGGTCCGGCTTTGGACAGACATATTCAGAGCAAGCTAGGAGACTTTTCCGGGGAAACAGAAGAGATGAAGTAAAGCATATTTGCTAACAGGACAGGACTTCAGGCTAAAGAATACAAGAGGGGGGGGCGGGCCTCGTGGGGAAAACAGACAAAGTTGAGAAAATGGAGCGTAAGACACAAGAAACTGAGCAGGTGACTTGCCTCCAGACAGGTGGGCCTGGAGGGAGATAGAGCCATGGCTGGAAACGGTGACAGTTCAGAGGGCTGGAGTGCAGGACATTCAGCACTGCACAGAGTGAGCCCTGGCCAGGAACCCGAGAGCGGCCGGTGTGTCACTGGCCACAGCGCCAGGGGCAGAGCCCCAAACTACCGCCCACGCCAGTAGCAGGCGCCTAGTTCCACCAATTCAGTAATGGGGTAAAAGGATGTAGAATCCTCTGAAGAGGGGTATAGTTACAGTTTATGGTATGGGGAAGGACCCAGCTTAGAGGCAGGGGAGAGGCTAGCGGGGCCTGATGTCAGGGGTCCCCTGTCTCCCTGCAGGCACGGTGCTCACAGCACCCAAGCACACCAGCACTGCCCACACGGATCACCCAGACCTGTGGAGTCTGTTACAGCCTGGGGCCTCCGCTTGCACTGGACCAGGTGCCGAGAACCACAGGTCTCTCGCAGACTCTGTGTGTGCCTCCTGGGGTTGCAGTAGACTGCTCTTTAGGTTTCTCTTGCTAAAAGGGGGATGATCCTTGTCCTCTTTGTGAAGCCAGCACCGCCCAGCACCGCTCAGGACCGTGGGGGCCACTCCCAGGGTCACTTGACCAAGCAACCCAGACAGCTCAACGGCCATTTATTCCATTCTCCCCATGCGCCTGCCCCAGTCTCTCTGAGCCTCCCATTCTAGTCTCACACTGCTCCTCATTCCTGTCTCCTTCTGTCTCCCCCGCTCATCTCTCTACGCTCCATCTCGCAGCCTCGACTCTCTCTTTCCACGTGCCTGCTCCTGTATTCTTCTACATTCTTTTCTCTCTCTCTGTCCCCCTTGCTATTCTCTCCTTGGTCCATCTTGCTGCCCTGCTCTCTCCTCTCTCTCCCCAGCTCTCTTGCCTCTCCAACTCCCCCACACTCTGGGCTGACACTGCACTCAGTCAGGTAGCAAAATCAACATAGCCCTTCCTGAGGGCCCACCGAAAAGGTAAAGCCCTTCCTAAATGACCCAGGCAAAATACCTCCTCAAGTGTTTTTCTCCTTTCCTAGTTCAATAACTATCAACATCTTAATACTAGTTATTTTTGTATGGACACAGTTAAGAGATACCATTGAGGCTTGTAGGGCAGCTCTCCTGGGAACTTCTTGCCACAGACTCAGACTACAGCGCTCAGGCCAGATTAATCATTCCTAACCCTAGCAGGGTCCAAATCTAGTTATTACTTTTTGGATCATGATAGCATTTGTCCATGACCAAGCTCTTAACTTATAGGTAAGCATTGTGGCACTTTGGCCAGTCCCATCTCGATGATACCAGGGTAGCACATAGCATACCGCTTGCCCTGGTTCCATCCAGTCCCTCGTGGGGACCCTGCTTTGGGGGCGCTAGGAAGTAATGGCAGCTGAGGCTTAGGTGAGAGAACAGATGCCCAGGAGGGAAATATCACTGAGATACATAACAAAAGCATACTGTCTTGTGTCCATACAAAAAGGACATTGCTCTGAATAAACTATGCAAAGAACTTAGGGAGAAGAGAAAAACAATATTTACAAGTCAACAGAGCACAAAGAAAAAAAGTTACCAAAAACACAGAGGAATGGGAGCACTGTGATGGGAGCAACCCAATAAACCTAAACTACCTGAGGCTACAAAGGAAGAACAAAACCGTGTTATCCTACATTTCCCCCTTTTTCTTTTTCCAAAAACACAAAATTTGAAACAGAGGAACAATTCCAAATCACAATACAGTCTTAGTTGTATTAAGATTTCAGTCCAACCCTGGACCCAGAGCATCCAATTGTCCTGCACTGTCCAGGGGTGATGAGAGTCACCAATGATGAGAGTCATTTAATCCCATTAAATGAGGGCTGGAGCGATAGCACAGCGGGTAGGGCGTCTGCCTTACAAGCGGCCAACATGGCCGACCCGAGTTCGATTCCTCCGCCCCTCTCGGAGAGCCCGGCAAGCTACCGAGAGTATTCGATATGCCAGACACAGTAACAACAAAGTCTCCAGTGGAGACGTTACTGGGCCCGCTCGAGCAAATCGACGATCAACGGGAGGGCCTTTACCTGAAGAAATGAAGTGTCTGGATCAAAACTGAAGGTGTTCCTATAACAGCATCATTAGTAGTTGCAGCAACGAGTCCCAGGGGAGCAACTATTAGGAGTCCAATAAATTTCAGGGAGCACTGGATCAGTCGGGGAGCACTGGAACAGGAGCATCACAACTTCTGGCAGGAGTACTTCAGCAGAGGAATGCAGCCATTCTCTGGTCAGGTTTATCAGCAGTCATAGATGTGCAACCTAGCTTATGTTTGAGAAAAACACTTTTCCAAAGTTATCAGAGGCTTTGACCATCAGGGTTTGGTCCCTGTGCCTGTGAGTAGAGAGAAAGACAGCGGGAAGCTCCAATACAAATGGATATCCTAGAGAGAAATGAAAAGGTGTTCCTGTCAAGTCATTCCTTTCTCCTTCAGGAACCTGTAAATTCCAAGGGAAGGGTAAGAGTAAAGCACTGTTGATTCAAAATATGGAGGCCTGGCGTTGTCCAATCCACAGCCTGTAAAAGAGGGGTATAAGGAATACTGTAATGTGAACTCATGATGTGTTAAAGGAGCTAGAGGCCTTGCTGTAGGTTCTCTGACGCTGGCTCTTCTTCTTTCCCGTGTGACTTCCAGCTGAAATCAGTCTGGCAATGACTTGGGTCTGGAATTTGAAGGGTTATGAGACTCTGGCAGTCTGAGATCCAAGTCAGGTGGATGAATTCAACTTCTGATGAGACATAATGGGACCCATAGTTTCTCAGTGGGGGTACCATTTGT